ACAATTAATACTGAACTTGAGTTGAATTGCTTTGCAGCTTTTGCCAACCTTTGTAATATGATGATGTAAATTATTTAAAGAACGATCGTTAGTTTGGCTCGACACAGAATCTAATGTGCAGTTTTTAGTTTCATTCCTAAAATCGTTCTTTCCCCCATGTTGTCGTCGACCGATCACCAACTCCACCAGCTTTAGTGCAGCCAAAAATGTTAGTGCGACCCTTTGACTGTGGGTAAATGAGCAGCACAAAGCCAAGGTCATCAGAGACGTGACTAAAGATCATTTAAATTCAGATGAATCTGAACCCTCAGGTCACAGTGAACACTCACTGCTGGGGACATTGATTAGTGCAGCGAGAGAAGAAAGGAGGCTGAGAAATTCAGAAAAAAAAAGTTTTTGTTCCTAAATTAAAGAAAAAAACTAAGGAATCTTTTAAATTATTTCCAGTGCAGCTAGAGATATTTTTTAAATACAGAAAATATCAACTGATACTGAATTTATTGTACTTCCCTAAAAGATGCATTTTCTATTATAATCCACCACTTTGCACTAATTTTCCAGCAATCACACACACACAGGTAAAAAATCCTCGTTCAACATCAACCCCGCCACACCCACACACACACACACACACACACACACACACACACACACACACACACACACACAGTAAATCTGATTGTACTGCAGCCGCAATGACCTGGTGTGTTTCAAACTGAGTGGAAACATTCATTCCTCTTCCCGCTGCTTCGTCACCACTGTCGTCGTCAGAACTGCTCTTTCAACCCACACTTATAACAGTTTGAAAACAAGTTCATGCTCGTGCTCTGTGTGGTGGCAGAAGGTATTCTGGGAAATATGGAGGAAGGGACAGAAGTGGAAATACTAAAATATATATTTTTTTACTGTCATAAAAACCTAATGAAAATAATCTTCAACAGCAGTTTATAATCCATCACCTGCATGACAAAGACTAGTTTTAAGGATTAGTGTCCTGGGTGTTTATGCTGCAGCTGTAGAGCCTCAGATTAAGACGTGACTCCATCACAAAGACAGGACCTTGTGAGTGTAAAGAACGTTATCGATCCTTTTCACCAGCAACAGCATCCTACCCTCTCTCATAACTCTCTCCCGATCTCTCCGTCTCTGTCCCTCTCTGCTGCTGCTGAGCAGAGTGGACACTCGCTACACGCCTACACAACAAATAGCTGCGAGAGACACGGCGTCTCTCAGCCTCATGTTAGCTCACATCTTCTTTTTCTGCACAAGAAAAGGATGTTAAATGGTGTCTGAAGGTTTTTTGTTTTGTTCTTTCATGTACTCAACACTGACGCAGTCAGGGGCTTTTATAAGGATTCATTATGTTGTGTTGACAGCCCTGCACTCAGCCATCCCTCCATCCATCCATCTTTTCTTTTCTTTGCCTCCATCAATGTTTTCATCTGCGTTTGTTTATTTATCAGCAGGATTATGGAAAAAGTATTTAACTGATTTCCATGAAATTTTGTGGAGGGGCTTTCGAGCGGATCCCGATCAGTGGGCAGATCATCACATTGATCGAACACGTTTCTTTGATAAACAATCTGTTCACTTGTCACCTAGTTATGTTCTTAAATCTTGGCAGGAAGTTAATTCTGATTCAGAATTACTGCAAGCTGTGAAACAAGATGCAGAAAACATGGACCAAGCTTTGAGTACTAGAAAGAAAATCAGTTGAGCGCAAGGCCCAACAGTTCCCTTAAATTCAATCAAGCTGCATTCAATTACACACACAATATTATCAATCCCCTCATTTTTTTCCATCGTGATCCATGAATTATTTTCCTGGGAAAACCAGAAAAATGCTCAATGTCAAAGATTCCTGGATCTGCATCTTCACCAATATTTAATGGGTTGTTCCCTGAGCCAAACCACATCTTTCCACCAAGCTGAGTGGAAATCTGTCCAGTAATTTTTGCGTAAACCTCATTTTTACGGAGGTAAATATAAATGTGGCATAAATACATCTCTGCTCCTCTGTGTGCACAAATATTCACCATCTGCTTGTGTGCGTGTCCCCTCAGGTCGGTCGGGCCAGGCGGTGGCGGTGCGAGCCAAGGTCTTCGGCTTCAACGTCATCTTCTACGACCCCTACCTGCAGGACGGCCTGGAGCGCTCGCTGGGCGTCCAGCGCGTCTACACCCTGCAGGACCTGCTCTACCAGAGCGACTGTGTCTCCCTACACTGCAACCTGAACGAACACAACCACCACCTCATCAACGACTTCACCATCAAACAGGTAGAACACACACACACGCACGCAGACATGTCATCCAGACAGAGCTGAACATCCCACTGAGCAGCTATGACCCGACCTGGGCTTAAAGCGGTGCTATCTTACAGGTAGACAAGCAGAGCTGCTGGTGTATTATTACTCTGACAGCCTGGAGGCCGTCCCACAGAGCATTATAGTCGGTGTGTGTATATATACAGAGAGAGAGAGAGGGGAAGCAGCAGCCGCAGCCTTCCTGCCTGCACATTCCCGGCTCTTTATCTTAAGCTCCACCAAAGCTGGACACAAATTCATTCCTTTGCTCTGTCAAATGCAATTAGCACCAGCCCATGGCTACAGCAAATATATCGACTCGGCTGCACAGCGGGGGGCTGAGAGCGCTGAGGGGAAAAGTGCCGCTCTCTCCGAGTCAATAACCGCACTCTGAGGTGTTGCCTGGGGTGACACCTGCAGGGAAGAGGAAGAACTGCAACAACCACAGAAAAGGCATCTCCCTCTCCTCTGGTCCGTCGCCCCTATGCTCGCCGGTTTTCGGCCTTGGCTCTAGTGCGGCCTTCTCCATGAGTTAAGCGGCGTGTGAGGAGAAGTGGGTGAAGGGTAAAAGCCTAACCTAGTTAACTCACGTTCTTCTTTTTTCTCCTCAGCTGCCTCTTAAAGGTTGCAATGAAAGAACACTTTCCTCACCAAAATTCTTGGCAGTCGCTCTCAGCTCCTAAAGTGGAAACGTGTGTGTGTGTGTTTCTGTGTGTGTCAAAACCACCAAGGCCTAGTAAAAGACTGCCTGCCAGCGTAAAGGCTTTTCATGCCCCTGGATTTTAGCTTTTGTCAAGATTAAGGGATTACTTTCTTCTGAGCATATTCATTTGATTTTTTTTTTCCTTCCTCCCTCTTACACTTTTTTGTTGTGCCTTTTTTTTTCCCTCCACAAGCGGCACAGGGTGGTGGCATTGCCTCATCTTTCAGCTCATCCCTCATTTCATCTCTGGCTTTTAGGATAGAGTCTTCTCTGTATCCACATCTGACACTATTTATCCCAGGGGCCGCCTGTCACCTGGATCTTTTTAAGGTGTCAGACGCAACAAAGATATCAGCGTTTCTTTATTCCCCTCCCTCAATCTGTGGGGTGTCGCGTGTTTTAAGACTCTAATTTGCAGACATTCAATCCGGGTTGATGTTTCGCTTTAGATTAATTTGACTGTCAGGCTGATGGATGTTTTAAAACACACACACACACGCTCACATCTGATCTTTCATCTGAAAATAAATGGCTCAATCTCCTCTCCTCTGTGTCGATGTGTTTGTATTAATGTGTCACCACAGATGCGTCAGGGTGCGTTCCTGGTCAATACTGCGCGGGGTGGTCTGGTGGATGAGAAGGCCTTGGCCCAGGCGTTGAAGGAGGGCAGGATACGTGGAGCTGCCCTGGACGTCCACGAGACGGAGCCCTTCAGGTGAATAAATGTACACGCGAAAGATTCTCACAAACCAGGACAGATCAACGCTTTATTTTAAAACGGAGGAAAAGAAAACGACAAATTACACTTGGGTAAAGGTGTTAGTCGGACGGGCGAGCAGAAACAATTTCAGACAGGATGAGTTAAAGATCTCCTCTAAGAGGCTCCTCCAGGGCCCAGCTGTTAATGGGATTCAGGAGATGGAGAGTTTGCTTTCTTCCCCGGCTGCTGGCGGACGGTTAAATGTGCTGAGATGAATTTTCTTCTTCTTTATGTGTTGGATCAGAGCAGTTTCCAGAACGGGAAAATGTTTGTAGCGATTCTATCTTTTGAAATGTTGTGTACAATCAGCATCACACATTTCAGAACTGTTTCCTTCTCAAATATGTGATTACAACCCAGTTTAAACTATTTTCATTCTCTTATTTTCATTTCTTTGGTAACAAAAACTTTGCCATTATACTTAATTTTGTATTTGCATATTCAATTTTTGCCCATAGCAAACTAAAGAGTCGGAATAGAAATTCT